TTACATGAAGTAGAACCTTGCTTGCATGGGATATTGGGGTTACCGTTCTGTAGTCGCTGCAATCTAGCGGAGCTTCTTTTTTGAATAGGATGAAAGGTATGAAAGTGGATGTTGACCAGTCGTTGGGCCACTCTCCGGTTTCCCAAATCTTTTTGCAGATCATATGTATAACATTTACTCCAACATCTCCAGTCTCTTTTAAAACTTCTGAGGTGATCTTGTCTGCGCCAGGAGATTTTCTGTTTTTCAACTTATTGATTGCTTTTTCTATCTCTGAATTTAGAATGTTTGGTTCCTTTCTGCTGTGAACTCATCGTGATTTGCATTCTGGGGATCATCTGCATATAGACTTTGACAATATTTTCTCCATATTTCCGCAATTCCTTTCTCGTCATTTATTATAATGTTGGTTTTGATCCATTATTGTTTGTGTGATTAGATTAAATTCCCTGGATAGATATCAGACTTTGTTATATAGCTCATGGGATTCATACCGGCATACACACTCACACTATACATATCATAATTTGTTATGTTTAAAATACCTGACTTATACAGTAAAAATATTTTTTTGTCATTTGGATAAAAACAAAACGATTCTTTTTATTTACTTTTGTAACAATATCAATTTTGTTTCTTCGGCGCATCCCAATTTGAGCAAAATCTTGGTCTGATGGCACAACATAATGTCCACTAACCAGAAAGTGATGTTTTATTTATTTAAATTTGGTTTTACTTGACTAACTACAATTAGAACTCGGTCTACTCGGCCATTAACTACCTCGGTCTGATACTTGCAAGATTTGTGATGAGACTATCATTAAAATTAGGACAGCAAAAGATAAGACATAACACAATAAATCTTATTCAAGTCTATGCACCAATAGCAGATAAAGGTGACAATGAAACAGAACAATTCTACAACGAGTTAGAGGAAATACTGAAAACAATAACAAAACAACACATTAATATAATAATGGGCGATCTTAATGCCAAGGTGGGTTAAAGTAAAGTAGGAGAACAAGTAGGAAACATATGGGCTTGGAAACAGAAATCGCAGAGGAGATTGATTGATTCAACTTTGCCAAAGTGAAGACTTCGTAATAACAAATACCTTTTTCAAATTACCTCCTCGACGGTTATCTACATGGACATCTCCACAACATACCAAAGAAAAAATAGTGAGACATCAAATAGACTACATTATGATAGCAAAGAGTTATCGTAATGCTGTTAAATGTACTAAGACTAAGAAAAAGATTAGAAGACCACACAGAAAGGCACTAGATTTAAATAAACTTAGAAACAAAAATATACGACAAGAAACAGGAAAAAAAATTATTGAAAACCTCCGTTCAGTGCAGCAAACAAATTAACGATACAAATAACGTTAACCAAAAATTAAAGTACATAAATACAGCTATACAAACAGCAGGAAAGAAACATCTTACAAAAACAACAACAAAGAATAAGGGGTGGATGACACAAGATATACTAGACTTGATGGAACAAAGAAGAAAGATAGAGAATTACCCAGACAAATACAAAGAAATAATAAACATATAAAAAAGATTTTAATTAAAAATCCTTCGTAAAAGGTATATTTTAGGCCCAAACGGGCTAAGTTAAATAGACAAAACGTTTTCGGAAACCATGTTCCATCATCAGTGTCTAGGAGTACATGAATGAAGCCACCAAGATTAAATATGTGGGTAAAAACCCGATTACATATGTTTAATTACATTTAGTTTTAAATTAATGTTGAAATGATATAAGATTACAGAGTTACCGATGGATTTGGTAACATGGCGACATATGACTCCACGTTGAAGTTGCTAGTCCTGAGACAGTATGTCTTCGAGGACTATATGAGTGCAACTGAGCAAACCAGTGCAACCAGTTGCACTCATATAGTCCTCGAAGACATACTGTCTCAGGACTAGCAACTTCAACGTGGAGTCATATGTCGCCATGTTACCAAATCCATCGGTAACTCTGTAATCTTATATCATTTCAACATTAATTTAAAACTAAATGTAATTAAACATATGTAATCGGGTTTTTACCCACATATTTAATCTTGGTGGCTTCATTCATGTACTCCTAGACACTGATGATGGAACATGGTTTCCGAAAACGTTTTGTCTATTTAACTTAGCCCGTTTGGGGCCTAAAAATATACCTTTTACGAAGGATTTTTAATTAAATTTTTAATACATGGTATACAGCCAACTACAGGAACGTAGATTCCTTGTGGAATATAATAAAAGAGAATAAAAGAAGCCACTGAGGAGTGAATTAAAGAACAGTGTGAAGAAATGGAAACCTATGAGAAAAAGTACGATGCGTTCAATATGCACTAAAAAGTAAAAGAAATAACAGGAAGCATAAAGAAATGCCAAATAGGTAAACTTAAAGACAAGATGGGAATCGTATTGTAGATCTAGAAAATAAAATAAAAAAAATGGACAGAATACCTGACTGAATTATTTGAAGACGATAGAAACAACTTAACTCAGATAATCAATGCAACTGGGCCAGCCATATTGAAAAAAGAAGTAGAATACGCAATAAGAAACGCTAAAAATGGAAAAGCAAATGGACCTGATGAAATTCCTACAGAACTGTTGAAGCTTTGAACTGATAAATCCGTAACCATAATATTACATCTATTTAATACAATATACAGTACTGGTATAATACCTCAAGAATGGTTGCTGTCTACGTTTGTGACCATATCGAAGAAAACTAAGGCAATGCAATGTTCAGATCATCGAACAATCTCCTTGATGAGTCACCTGCTTAAAATATTTCTTAGAGTCATCCACAACCGAATCTATCAAAAGTTAGATATTGATATTAACGATACACAGATCGGATTCAGAAAAGGATTAGGTACAAGAGAAGCTCTCTTTATCTTAAATGTCCTAACACAGAGATGTCTAAATGTTAAACCAAGAGGTGCATGCCTGCTTTAAAAAGGCCTTTGACAAAGTACGCCACAATCAACTCAAAGAAATCCTGAAAGGTAAGAACATCAACACCTGAGACATACAAATAATATTAAATCTGAAGGGATAATAGTCAATGGAGAAGTTATCAATAACATTCGATATGCTGACGATACTGTGATAATGGCAAGAACAGTGGAAGATCTACAACATCTTGTTGAAAGTATGAATGAGATATGTAATAACTACGGCATAAGGATGAACGTAAAAAAAACCAAATATATGACCTTTAACGAAATCGTAGGCTTCCACGGCCAGAGTCAGAATTATAGTTTATTCGTCTTCCGGGTTTGGACCGTGTCATTTGTGAGTGACCCAAAAGTGGGTTCATCTCGACGTTTCGCTACAATTTGTATGTAGCTTCTTCAGGAGAACAAAGAAAAAGAAATCAAAAGACAGGAAGATGGGTAGTTAGCAACGGTAACTCAGTAACTCAACGCAACCAGAGGCGAATACTGGCAAGCCTATGTAATTTTGGGTTACTACAAGATTCACTCATCAGAGTACCGAATTGTTAGTGGCATACTAGACGTCGCTCTTCAAGAAAGATTGTTGCAGTGTTCGAAATTGGACCTAAGAAAAGCAGAAAATATATGTAGAACACCTGAAGTAAGCAGAATCCAAGTCAAAGAAATACAGAATGAAAAGGAAGTTGATATAATTAGGGTGAACAAGTTCAAAGGTAAGAGTGGGGTAAATATGGTCATACAGGAGGCTAAAAATGATTTTGATTGTTTTAAATGTGGACGGGACACATGGACCTAGGAGCTGTCCAGCATATGGGAAATTATGTTCTTTATGTAATAATCCAAATCATTTTGCAGTAGGGTGTAAGAATAGAGGAAACTCCAGTGGAACGCAATATAAAAAACATAAGTAGGTTTAACAATAAAAGTAATAGGTTCCATAAGAAAAGGCAATGTACTTGAACTTGAGTATGAAATATAGTAGCATATGATAGTGGACGATTTGTTAGTTGTAATCAATAGTTTTAGACAACATAAACTCAAATAGGCCTCTCAAGTAAGTGTTGGAAAGTAGATTTATTAATTAACGATAAAAATGTCAAGTTTAAATTAGATAGTGGAGCCAATTGTAATTGTCTACCGTTAAAATATTTTCAATAGTTTAGGCTGTCAGGTACCAGTCTTAAAAGATAGTGTATCACTTTTAGCTTATGGAAATAACAGAATTGACACATGTGGGTCTGTACTATTAAAATGTTTTGTTATGGAACTAGGTACAACATTAAGTTTCTTTTAGTTATTACTAATAGTACACCAATTTTAGGTCTTAATGCATGTAAAAAAATTAAATTTGGTTCAGAGAGTTGACTTCATCATATAGTAAAAGTAAAGATGAATTTATATTTATAGGATGAATCCAATAATAAAATAAGAATTTGCTTGGACCCAGTTCACTTAAACAAATTTGTTTGTAACGATCAATATCCAATACCCACTGTAGATGAATTAACATTGAAACTGAAGGGTAAATAAATTTTTACAGTACTTGACCTGAAGGAGGGGTTCTATCATGTTCCACTACATTGAGGATAGAATGAAAATTTGTACTTTTACAACTCCTTCTGGCAAATATTGCTTTAAAAGATTGCCATTTGGTCTTAGCGTTAGTCCCGAAGTGTTTCAGAGGATGAACGAAAAAATATTTGGAGATCTTGAAATAGGAATATATTTTGATGATATTATAATTGTTGCAGAGACAGAGGAGGAACATGATAGAATTCTTCAGAAGGTTTTAAATAGAGCTACAAAATATGGAGTTTAAATTTAATAGCGATAAAATTCAATTCAAAGTAAGTGAAGTTAAGTATATTGGACAAATTTTTCTAAAAGTGGTATTTAAACCAGATCCTCAGTACATAGAAGCAATTTTGAGCTTAGAAAATCCAAAGTCAAAAAGAGCACGAAGTCTTTTAAGTTTAAAAAAACGAATATCACTAAACATAGAACAAAGATGATAGCTTACCTCTGATGCTTCATCTGGTGCTATAGAAGCTCGTTTTCGGGTCGGGGGTTTTTCTTTTACAATTTGACTATCATTTTTTGGATCGTGCCTCAACAAGCGATAATCTAACGTGTCATCTGATAATCGGTGACTCACGTGACTCAAGTCTTCCAGTCTTTTATATTCATATTTGTCTGAAGTTCCAGGGTCTATTGGATAATGATATTTCTCATACTTATCGTCAATTGTCACTGAGGAAGTTGACTTCATTGGAGTTGTTCGCATATATTCATTAATAAGTGCTAATTCCTCTTCAGTAACCTTAGGCAATTCAATTCCGATCGATTTCCTCATCAAATATGTTTGAAAGTTTCCCTGTTGTAATAAACACATTGAAGGATCTTTCCCAACATCAGTAACCTGTAATTAATAAATGTTATATGCAGTTAACTTATTGTATGTTTCTTATTTCCTAACTAGTAGCGGGGAACGGAAAGTCAGACAGCTTTTGTACTGTATACAAGAAGCCAGCTAAGGGAGCCTATCAACTGTAAAAAAAAAAATAAAACGTGTGTAGCTAGTCAAAATGGACTGGTGATAGTAGATACAGAAATAAGGTGACACGGAAAAGAAAGCAAGTAGGACATTAGAAAGTAAACTGGTGGGAATTAAAGGATATGGATTTGGGAAAAGTCATTCAAGAGTAAAGTGCTGGATGAGTTTGAGAAAAAAGAAGGTTGTGGTATGACTGGAAGACGAAGTGCTACAAATCTTCTTCTTCCTGTGCCGTACACTGGGTTAACATGTAAGTGTGCAAGCTGGTTGAATTATATGTAAGGATCCTTCTTCTGTTCTTCGTATTGTTGTATTGATACAAGGTAGGTCGCAATAGTTTTTAATCTTTTTTTTTTTTATTGATAACAGTATCAACCACTTTGGGTTATTAGCTGTACTATAATTAGGGTTTAATATAGGGTTTACAAAACATTAACAGTTATAATTTGCTTAAAACGTCAATATCTTTCAAGTAATTAAACATATTTCTTCTTCTTCTTCTAGTGCCGTCTTAACTAATGAAGGTTGGCTATAACCATTGCAAATTCGTCTATATCTTCTGCTTTTCTTAAGAGCGTCTGTGTATTTAACCCGGTCCAGTTGCGAATGTTTTTCAGCCAGGATATTTGTCGCCTACCAGGACCCCCTTTTCCTTCGATTTTATTCTTTATAATCAGCTGCATCAACTCGTACTTATAATTTCTAAGTATGTACTTCAAATAGGGCGTCTTTCGCCTTTTAATGGTAGTCAAAAGTTCTCTGTCTCTTCCCATTCTATGCAACACCATTTCGTTCGTAATATGATCGGTCCATGGTATCTTCATAATTCTTCTAAAAAGCCACATCTCAAAAGCTTCCAGTTTTCTCATTAAGTCAAAATTAACAGTTCAGGTTTCGACACCATAAATATAGTGGATATAACATTTTACCATCCGATATCGGATTTGCAGATTGACTATTTGGTTACTCAGAAATTTCCTCATCTTCAAAAAAGTCTGCTCTTGATTGCTTTATTTTTGAGCAAATTTCTGGTTTCCAATTCAGATCTTCCATAATCCATACTCCTAACTATTTCATTTTGTCCACTTGCTCAATATCTTCATTTTTTATCTGGATCCTTGTAATTACTTTGCCTCTCTTACTAATAACCATATTTTTGTTTTCTTTATGTTTATTGTTAAACCAAATTGTTCCCCAGTATCACAAATTGTGTTTTGTACGTCTGCAGGTCTGTCTCACTTTCAGCGATAATGACTGTATCGTCAGCATAACGGATGGAATTTATATTTTCACCATTTATCTTGATCCCTTCTGTACAGTTTTCAAGTACTTGTGTAAATAACTCTTCGGAATATATATTACATAGTAATGGTGAAAGTACATAGCCCTGTCTCACTCCTGTATTTATCTGTTCTTGTACATATACTTCATTCGCTTAGCTCGGGCATATTTTTGACAGATTCATTGTCAGAAACCTAAAACACAACAATTCCTACTTCTCAGTAGTAATAGCTCAAGTATACTACTATTTCAGACTTCTTTCTTCCAAAAAAGAAGAATTATTCTAAATAGTGGAAGTTTATACTAAACCCATCAAATTTTGGGAAGTATATATTTAAAAAATATATTTTAGTTGTTATAATTTAACATAACTATTTATCATATGGTGCAGAATAAATAAATATTAATTGTCGGTAATTCGCAAAGTTCTATTTTATTTACTATTTAGTTTGTTTACTATTAATATTGGCTATGAGTACGTGTGCTTGATTGTATAGTAATTTCTAGCCACTTTTAGTCTGTCAAAAAGTAACTAACTTCGCAAAAAAATAATTACTAAATTCGCTAGACAGTTCGGACTGGGAATAGCGAACCAAGTATAAACATACTCTACTGAGTGTTCTTGTACGTAAACGGGTTAGGTCAACAAACAGCTGGCGATTTAAGTTTATCTCACACCAAAATTCGATTGAGGGCTTTACAATGTGTAGAGTTGATTATGAAAGATTCCTTTCGTTTTCCCATTCATTTGTTACTTGTTTTAAGAAACGATTTGTAGTACAGAAATAGACACTAAAGACTTGTTTACACGGGTAGAGTTGTGAGGAGAGTAGAGTAGCAGAGTAGAGTAGTAGAGTCGACTCTACTCGCTACTCTACCAAAAATGGCTTGATACCGTTCACACGAGGAGAGCTACAAGTATAGTACTGATGCTAGTATAGTGTGGAGTGGGTGTTTGTTTAGTGCAAAATGAATTCAAGAAAAAGAAGATTGATTCAAAATTGTTTAGCTACAGTTGTAAATGCATTTGTAACTGAAGTCACTAAAGCTATCGATGATGATGTAAACAAACAAAGAAAGGAGTGGATAAGAGAGTGGCTTAAAAGAAGGAATACACACGGGGCCTCAGCTCTTCTGCTAAGAAAACTACCCTTAGAAGATGAGTTGGAATATAAGATGTGTCTAAGGATGACCTCAGGTAGATTCGAAGAACTTCTTAATATGGTGCATGACAAAATCGAACGACAAGACACGTTATGAGGGATGCAATAAAACCAAGAGTGAAGCTTGAGATTATGTTGAATATTTTAGCTACAGGGAACATTTATCGAAGCCTTTCTCATTTTTTTTAGGGTTTCAAGACCTGCAATTTCAAAGTTGGTCTCCGTGGTGTGTGATGCCATCTCCGCAACTTGCTTCATACTTTTATTTCTGTAGTGTACACTACCTAAATGCCATAAACACTGGTATTCGCCATACATCTCTACAAGTTTTGAAGTTTTATCTTCGGTGAACTTAATTTTCACTATTTACACAAAACACAACTCCAGCCGGAATGACAGCATCCTTACCAGCATTCCTACCTACTCTACTCTACCAGAATTGACCGCGTTCCATGGGTAGAGTGCGCAGGCGGGTGACCATTTTGGCGTTAGTGGTGGTAGTAGAGTTACTTTGCCACATGTTGCTAGTCATTCTACTCTACTACCTACTATGCACTATACTTGCTACTCTACTGCGCTGAGCGTTTTTACGGGTAGAGTTGCTCTACTCTACCAATTACTTTCATCATTGCTCTACCCGTGTAAACGGGTCTTAAGTGTACTAACACTGAAGGGGCACTGTGTATGTGTGTATTGCTTCCCTGGCATGAAAATCTGCTTTTTCACTTCATTGAAGTCCAATGTGAGATGAACACCTTTAAACCTTACTTGCTGTCTCGCATTGTTTAATAAATGTAATTGTTGTATTAAAATATCTGTAGAATTACTTATATATAATTATTTCATTGTATGTAATTCTCTGAGAGAGTCGGTAATTATGACAGATTTCGGAATTTGTTGTGTTCGTAAATTAATGATGACTTGCAGAATTGAATATAGTTCTCCAGAGTAAATACTGCAAGTGAAAGATGTCATCATCATCATCTTTGGCTCGACAATCCTCTGTGGATCTTGGCCTGCTCTAAGATTCGTCGCCATTCTGTTCGGTTTTTGGCAACATGTTGCCATCTTCTGATTTTTAATATTCGTAAGTCGGTTTCTACTCCATCTAACCACCTAATTCGCGGTCGGCCTTTGCTTCTTTTTCCTACAGGTGTTCCTGTGGTTAGCTTTTTAGCAATGGTATTTTCTGGCATTCATATTATGTGTCCAGCCCATCTAAGTCGCTGTGTTTTAATGAACGTTATGACATCTGGCTCATCAAAGAGCTGATACAATTCAAAATTATATCTTCTGCGCCACTGCCCTTGGTCGTTTACAGCTCCAAATATTTTGCGGAGTATTTTACGCTCAAATATTCCCAAAAGTCTTTCATCTTTCTGCGTTAGTGTCCATGTTTCTGCTCCATATGTGAGGACCGGCCTCAGCAATGTTTTGTATATAATAATTTTAGTTCTTCTTTGAATGTTTCTTGAGTGGAAATGCTTTTGGAGTCCATAGTATGCCCTATTTGTAAGATTTATTCGTCTTTTGATTTCTTCGCTTGTTTTATTGGTAGCAGTCAATAGCGACCCAAGGTATGTGAAGTTGTCAACACGTCCAAAGGTATGACTTCCAAAGACTGTTTCTCGTTCCTCATTTGCTATCGGATCCTTTGTAACCAACATGTACTTGGTTTTGTCTTCGTTGATGACTAGACCGACCTGTTTCGCCGCTGTTTCCAATTCTAGGAGATATTGCTCAACATCTCGCTTGCTACGACCTATTATGTCAATGTCATCAGCATATGCTAAGACTTGTATCGATCTATTGTAAATAGTACCACCGTCCCTAATTCGTGAATCTCGGACTGCCTTTTCTAAGGCAATATTAAATAGGAGGCAAGCCAGAGCATCTCCTTGTCTGAGTCCATTCTTTATCTCAAAGGATATAGAACTCTTTCCCTGTATTCTAACAGTGGCTTCTAAGTTAGACATTGTCATTCTCGTTAGTCGGATAAGTTTCTCTGGTATACCAAACTGATGCATTGATTGGTATAGCACTGTTCTCTTGACACTGTCGTATGCTGCCTTGAAGTCGACGAATAGGTGATGGGTTTCAATATTGAATTCTAATGTTTTCTCGAGAATCTATCTTATTGAATGAATCTGGTCAATTGTTGATTTTTCTGGAGTGAATCCAACTTGATATTTACCAACTATGCCCACTGTGTAAATTTGCAACCTTTCGTAGAGAATATTTGCTAGTATTTTGTAAGCAGTTGTTAACAGGGTTATACCTCTATAGTTGTCACATTGGAGCTGGTCACCTTTTTTATGTAACGGGCATTCACAAGGCATGGTCTCATTATGCCAAACAAGAAGTAAAAGCTTATGCAGTGTCTGTAGTAGGGCATCGCCACCATTCTTGTAGAGCTCACTG